GCTTTTTGTAATTGCTTTCTTAATTGTGTGTTTTGTGTATTTTCCCTTAATACAATCTACATAAATACTAAGATCAGTGAAATCCAAATGAGGAAGTATTTCATTCTTTATCAATATTTGTATTCTTTCTTTGGATATATGACCCAAACATTTATGCCATAAGTAAACTAAATTTTCATTCATTAAACCATGTTTAGTACCAATATTATGATGTAAGGTCAACAAGGTCTCAACAAAAAGGTTATCAATATTTAATTTGTATAAACAATCACATAGAATACTAAAACCAATAAAATGATTATGTTTAAATAAATTGAAACATCAATTTTCAAACTTAAAGGAATATCCAGACGTATCAAGTTTAGACAAAGAAACTAGATTTTGAGAAATGAAAGAAACATAAAGAAATTGTATCTAGTGTTTAAAATTAAACAGTAAGTTTCAATAGCTTCAACTATAGCTTTGACTCAATTTTCCATAAAAATAAAATTTTCATTTGAATTTACAGTTTTGGTTGTAAGAAATCCCTTTTCTTTATATTTTAGATAATTTTTCTGATAGTCTAGACATTTTGCAGAAATAATATTTATCTTTTTTTTGTTCCTTCTTGTGGATTTAGGCAAATGACGCATTAATCTCTAATGGTCCTTTATAGTCCTTTCCATTTTTCTTTACAGGTTTCTTTTTAGCTCATGGTTGGCCCATGAGATTACTTGACTGAATTCCTTACTTCCTAAGCCTTGTTTCCTCTTGAATAAGTATACTTTGTAGTTCAATCACATTTCATTATCCTTTACAGTATTGTAATTTATTTGGAATGGACCATTCCTATGGATAAAACTTTCAATTATCTTTTATAGTGGCAAGAAATTTATAACAAATTGTAAAATAAAACTTTCACTCACTTCCATTCCTATGGATCTTAATCTTATTGCTATGTTTGACATTTTAGTGACATGCTCATGCGTGGTACGAGAACCATCAAATTTCATGGTAGTTAATGTACCCATTAATGTCCTAGCAAGTGACTTATTAGCAGAGTTAGATTGAGATATATTATTCACAAACTTTAAAAATTCTTTAGCATTATTAGTTTTAGGAACCATTGACATAATGTTGTTTGTTATTGTCATTTGCATGAACATTAAACTTAGTCTATTTGATCTTTTTCAAGCATTATGAAAGGACTTTTGTTCAGTACTGTTAGAATAAGTAATAGTAGCAGGCCTATCAGTCAAGAGTACCAAATCAAGATCTAAAATATCTAGATGACACTGGACTTGTTCACACCATTCAGAAAAATTAAGTCCATTGAACTTTATAATAGACAAAGTTTACGAATGAAAAGAAACAAGAATAGATACTGCAAAATAGATAGAATGCTCATACATTAATGTTTTGAGTTGTAACTTAAATACATAATACAAATTCAAATAACATTCATATAAACATTAAATGTACATTGAACTTCCTTTTGAGTGATCCAAAAATGTACAACAATAAACATAATTGATGCTTAATTTTGGTTTTACATAATTGACAATTATATATACTTCAGTTAAACAGACTTGCTATCATTGGATATGCAAAAATATTTAATAAATTATATTAATAAACCGTGATCATGTTTATGATTGTAAAATTAACCAATCTACCTTTGGGCGATCCTTAAATGTTTTATAATCACTAAACTTCAATTTACTCAATAAATATATATGTATCATCATATCATCTCATTTATAGCATCACATAATCATGAGTAATTGAATTTTTTTTATTTAATTTGACATCTATAAAATATTTTCAATTTGGCCACTTTGGTGCCTAATTAATTATACATACTATATATCTCAAAATAAATGATCATAATAATTATTTTAATAATAATAGACATAATGATAATCTAAACATAATATGTAGATGGTATTACTATCTTAGTAAATAAAATACCAAAAAACTATTATACATAAATTTCACATAATTGTTGTATCACACATATATAGTAAAATGCAACATATAAATATAAATATATATATATATATATATATATTATGACAGGTAGATAGGCATAAATAATCAAAGATTCATTTACATTAATGGCTTTCATAATTATTGTTAAAATTCAAAATATTTAATTATATTACTTACAATTTAATGACTATTAAGTTTCATTTATTTTGTCTTACATTTATTATGCACCTTTATTACTTTTTTTTTAACGTTTTATACATCTTTTAATATATATATATATATATTCATTAATCTAATAAATATATATTCATTATGTTATTCATTTAATAAATATGGTCTATTACCATATTTAATTTATGTAAGGATATAAGTTGCTATTTGCTTTTAGATACATTATAATTGAATACTACAGTACCATTATTAACTTGTAAGAAATTTTGAAATTCTAAATTTTCAACAAAATATGAAACAAATTACCAATGAATAACAATGTGAAAATAAATCATAAAAGAAAAAAATATATAAAGTAAATTTTTTTTAAAGAAAAATCACAAATTCTTAAACTAAAGGCTCTAATACAACATGCTAGATTTTCTTTTATTATGCAAACTAAATCTTAATTTTGTATAGTCTTAATGCTCAAAATCTTAGAACAAAATGATTTTCATAATTTCCTAATTGAAGAAAAATCATACCTTGATCCATAATTATTTTTTTTTAGAAATAATGTTTTATAATTTTGTTTTTCTCTCTTTTGATCCTTTGACTTAACACACATTCTTGATGGATCGAATTATAGAGTGAAGCGATTTTTTTCATTCGTTAATTGCATTCAATTCATACGTTCCATTAACGTATAAATTATAAATAAAATTTTCTTTTGTTTACATTGCATTATTGTTTCATAAAACAAAATTCTTATTCATTATAATTAAAACTCTTTTAGTTTAATAACTTTTATTAAGCAAAAGTTTTGTTTACATTAGTTAAACAAAACCTTTGTTTTAATTATCAAGTTTAATAAATTCAATACTTATTAAATTATAATAATTAGCTTAACTTATTTTCTTAAGTTATTAAACCATAAATAAATAAAAATATTTTTTAAAATTAGATAATGGCCGTGTAGGCCACATAATATCTAACATGTTTTTCTCTGTTAATCAGTTTCAAAAAGTCGATAAGAAAAGTAGAGAAAAAATGTGTAAATGACAAAGCAAAGTTGGGATGAACGGTAGTACTGGATTGAGGGGGCCTTGGCCCTCCAAAATTTTTAAGTTCTAACATTTATGTTATGATAAAATTAAATGGCCCCCTCGAACTAAAATCATTAATTTTATTTAATTTTATGTAATTTTATAATTTAGTTTTATTCATTTAAATTTAAAAAAATTGTCATAAAGTTAAATCACAATAATATAAATTTAATAAAAGAAATTAACTTTTTAATTTTTCAAATAAAATTAAAGGTCTCCAATCAAGTATCAAACATAATTTTCTATGCTTTTTAATTGATTACAATTCCACTTTTCCATATAATTCTTCACATTTAATTTTATCTTAGATTTTTTTTCTCTATCATGTAATTTTTTTAACACAAAAGTCAAATTGAAATCACTTTATTTATAAGGTTAAAAAAAATCCTAACTTCTAATCTTAAAGTTTCAAACTTTATTCTTTTAATTATATAGTTTATTTTTCTTATTTTGATAAAAAATATATATTATTTAACAATTAATTTACTTATACTTTTTTCTTAAAAAAAACTCACAATTGTAAAAAAAATTCACAATTTAAATAAAACTATTTATTTAATGTATTATGTTTTTTTATACATTGATTTATAAATCAATAAAATTTATAATTTTGAAAATATGGAGGTTTTGGTTTGAAGGGTAAATAAAAGTATGATTTTGAAGGGTTTCTCTTTGGGTAACTACCCAAGGAGTTGCTTTTGGTTAATTGCTATTTAATGCTGCAACTTGCGAATAAAAGACTAAAACTTTTTGAAAATAAGAAACCCTTTTGTTAGATATGGCTGAAATAGTAAATTGATACTCTCATTCTCATATAACTATTTATGAGATTTTTGTGTTGTTCAAAGTTGAAAAATTGTTGGGTTAAAGCATAGTTGTGGCCTCTTGGTTGGAGAATGTTGATGTCAGATCAGATGTTCCTTGTTTTGGAGTCTTTAGGGTTCTGGAATGATGGATTGTGAAATGTATTCTATCTGCTGAATGAGTGAGTTATTGGGATGACCGTGAATCCGTGATTGTTTGTTGGAAGTATAAATAACTTTCATCCCCTCTTCCAATTTAGTGCTTTTTCATACAAGGATATGACATTTATGTTCACCTGTGTTGCTCACCTGTTCTGATTCTTTAAAGAGATTTTTACTCGAATAATCTAAACAGTTTTACTTAAATAATCTAAACAACTTGTTAAAGTTTGACAACATTATCATTTCAATAAAGAAACTTGCATATTGATATTGATATAGTTTGCATATTTTCTTTATGCTATCCTTTCCGAAATTTATGAGGTTTGAACATGTTTAAATCGTGTAAGCATGTGTAGATCTGTCACATCTCTAGAATTTTTTATGTTGCTAAAATGGACAGTTTTTTTTCTCTGTCAGATCATGACCCCATCTTGATGTTGTTTCAGGCCATTTGTCTCTTAAATTATCAATTTTTATCAAACATCTGTAATGTAGATTTTCATGTTTAAGCCAGGCCAATCAGGACATCTTTTTCTACATAATATTTCTGTAAATATTTGAGTTGGAAGTAACTTATCTATTCCAGTAGTCTTTAGTCAGTTATGTTGTTTGGCTGGTAATACTTCATGTCGGAACATTGATGTTGAGGTGTTCTGGATTATGAAGCAATATATCAGGCTTTTAAGATTTGCTTCTTAGATTGGGTTAATATTTTTAAGTACAAAATAAATGTTCTTTAAAAGATTGATTAGAGCGTTTATATTTTCAACTTGTTTCTAAGTTTACATTTGGACATTTTCTATTGCAGCTGGCATCCTACGGTGAAATGGGCCCAGATGTCAGATGTAGTCTTCATAACTTTTGAGCTTCCTGATGCACAGGATGTGAAGCTTAAACAGGAGCCTGTAGGAAAATTTTTCTTCCCTGACACCATTGGAGTGGACAAGATTCCCTATGAAGTTGACATGGCTCTGCATGACCAAATTGTTGTTGATGTATGTCCACTGGTAAAATCTCAATTCTTTTGATTAATCTTTAATACATACTGCCTATAAAGTAATATTAGTCATTGTGATGCTTGCAGGAAAGCAAGGCTAGTGTTGGCAAGAGAAATATCTGTTACCTCGTGAAAAAGGCTGAGAACAAGTGGTGGAGCAGATTGCTGAAACAGGAGGGGAAACCTCCTGTGTTTTGGAAAGTTGATTGGGACCGATGGGTTGATGAAGGTGAGGAGGATCAAGACAATACGGGTAAGACTTATTTCCTCAATGTCTTATATGGTTTTTCACTGCTATATTTTCATGGTGAAGGGTTTTCTTCATTAGTTGGACTCAATGGGGATTTTTGTTGCCATTGCTCTTGATATGAACTTTGGTGACTTTGACTTTTCTGTGAGTGGCAATGTCATCACCTAATTTTTAATGATTTTTTTTGAGTTCATCAAAATGGGACTTGAAACCATTTGCTTCTTTTTCCTTTGTGTTACAGAAGCTGAACATGGGTGGTGGTGAAGGCTTTTGTGCGGCCGAAGGTGAGGACGGTAAGTTTCATCATAATCCATCCAGTATCGGTTAGAATGTGCCGAGTTGCTATCTGGATTTTGAGTTGGAAGCATGTTTCCAAAGAACTAATTACTCTATTAGGTTAACTAATCATAATGTTTTCTCCTTGCAGATGATGACAGTGATACGGAAGAGGAAAATGTGGAAGAACTACCACCTTTGAAGAAAGACTGAACCTGAAGTCAAAAAAGGTTAAAACCGTTTTTGGCCCATGGTCATATCTAGATTTAGTTTTTACATACAAATATTATGAATGCTTTTATTTGTCTGAGGCCCCCTTTTTAGTGGAAACCTCTAGTCATTATGAGATTTGTAGATTGCGAGAGTTATAATTATCTCTATCAAATATCAGCTTATGGAATTATATATCTTGCTAGTATTGCAGTCTAAAACATGAGCTGTACTTCTTTATGGTCTTATATATTGTAAATGTTGAACTGGAATTAGGAAGGAATTTATTTTTTTTATTTGGATCGAGACATTTGGGTTGGAGGTTTTGAATTTTAAATTTATTAGATATCATCTATTAAGATGATTATATGAATTAATTGAATTAAATTTCAGATTTTAGTGAGATATTTTTAATGTAACCCATATGGATTGTTGCAGCAAAAGATGTGACGCAGAGCACTCTCATAATTGAGCACTTGTCATTGTGAGAATTTGGGTTTGGAAGGAGCTTTTGCCTTTCTATTTGTTGGAAAAGTGGGCCGAGTGGAGGACACACCCATTAACATCAGCTCTCATCAGGCACATTCCTTGCTCTGCTTTTGAGTTGTGCCAATGTAATACTCAAAATGTTGTGATACTAATAACCCAATGATAAATAGCAACCCAGGTAAAATGGGGTTCTACTTTAAAGTAGGGCAATGAGTTAGAAAATTACTTGAGATCCAGACCCTCATCGACTATCTCTAAAAATCACCAAACATAGAATCTTCAGAGTCTGATGCTGGAGTATTAGATTTTTAGTTCTAGTAATCAAAGTTCAAATCTTGATAAAATCTTCCTTGATCATGTTTAAAACCAGTCTGATTCAGAGCATTGGCAAAGCTAGACTGGCTATCGAGGATCAGAATTCCATGAAAATGCTTTTCCAATAGGCGAATCTAATCACCACAATTCCATATTGATATATGTTCAAAACTGGGTTTGACATATGGACTTCCTGTCCTGTCATGGCAAATTGTTTTAAGCATTAAGATATCCCATACATTTTCTTCACATCTATGGTAAGATAATAGAAAAACTCTCAATTTTTTTTTCTTAAACAATGGGATGTAAATGTTAAGCGAAATTCATCAAGAAAATCCTATAATAACAGCAGAGCAGAGTAGAAATATGTCAACCAAACATAAGGTGGCCGTAAAGTGCAAAACATCTCCCTCGTTTTTCCAAAATAGACCTGCAAATTACATAGATATATTCTCACTCGTACTGCCATTCACTAAGTTATCGATAATGCAACATGCAAAGGCAATCAAAATGAAGAAAGTAGTCAACATACCTAATCCAACGAGTTCCTGAGCTTACCCTCCATTTCTTCTATCATCTTTCCCATGTTACAAAGATGACCATCAGCAACTGAGAGGTTCATGTTCATCCATGGACAAAGGTTAAGGTGAAAAAGAGGCATTTAGACCTTAACATAAACACACAAAGGATGGTCAACTGTAAATACAATTTTTTTTACTTAACTGCAAATACGTTAATTAAACAAGAATCTATGCTCCGTTCATGACATATCAATACCATCATGGAACAGTATAAAATTAAATTAGACATCAAGTTTTAAAACTCCAGATTTTTAGGGGGAAGAAGAAACTAAATATGAAGTCCTCTTATTGGGGATGGTACGAGGAACTTAACATTCTTCCTGCCTCTGTATTACTATGGCATTAAATTTATACAAATAAATTTTAATAATATCAGATTAATGACCCAGATAAATTGCACCAGGTATATTTAACTTTACAAATGCAATGCCCAAACTACTTTTTGTCTAAAGTTCCTCCTGTAGTTTTCTCCTCTTATTTATAATACAGAGGCCTTGTTCTCTTCAAATGTTTTGGCTAGTGGGTAGGGTATGTGGAACTGGTGGTACAGCTGTTGCCTTTATCCCCACACAAATCGTCTGTGCTCATGAAGATACCAAATACAGAAGAAGCAAATGTGAAAATCAATTGTTATCCTACTAGTAAATGGTGTGTGGAAAGCAACACCTCTTTTCTAGGAATAAAGTAACCAAAATCTAATATTTGATGGTAGTTTATTCCTGCAAAAGATGTGTAATAAACTCAATTTCTTTTAGATATATTAAAAGAGAGGATATTCGAAATTTGACCATAATCAACTAATATAAAATTAGCAATGATGAAGTAATTACATTTTCAAAAATCAACCAAATATGTATTACAACTATGTGGAAGCAGAATTTAGATTTAAACAGTATAAACCATACTCATTAAATGTTTTAATAGACACTGGAGCAATTATATATAGCAGTGTAAGCAATGTTTTACCCTTAGAAAAATGACAGTAAATGAAACACCCTATAATAGTAATTGGAATTGATGGAAAGGAAACAATAATAGAATATAAAGCAAAAAAAAATTTTATTTATTTTATGAATAAAAAATTCATAATGCCAAAAATTTTATGCTTTCCTTTTATGCATGATAACATGTTATTAGGAAATAATTTTATATATAATTATTTACCTTTCTATTTGAATATTAATAATATTATTTCTACTATAGATAAAGAATTTATAAAATATCATTAGTAAAAAATCATAAACATATATGTGATTCTAATTTCTGACCAAAAATCAAGAAAATGGAAATTTAATCAATTAGTGAAACATACTGGTGTTATAAAATTTTAAAAGAAAATTTTGGTGAGAAACCATTAAAATTATGGTCTAAAAGTCCTAGATTCTATAGTTTAAAAATTCTTAATTCAAAGAAAGTAATCAAAGTAAAACCAATGATCTATACTAAACAAGATATAGATGAATTCAACATACAAATTAATGAATTTTTACAAAAAAGACTTACAGAACCCATTACTAGTCCACATTCAAGCCTAGCATTTATGGTAATAAATCATACTTAACAAAAAAAAAGAAATGCCAAAATGGTAATCAACTATAAACGGCTTAACCAAAATCTAATATTTGATGGTTACTTTATTCCTAGAAAAGATTTACAATCAAATTTACTAAAACTAAGTTTACTGAGTTGTAAACCGATTTTTCTTCGTTTTGACTATTTGTATCTCCTGGAAAAGTATGAATATTTATATTTTTTGTACTTATTGATTGAGGTTGAGAAAGAAAGATTGCCCATGTGAAACAAATGATTGTTCACTAGCAATATTCTCATTGTCTTCATTATCTATATTTGAGAATGAAGGTATAAAAGAACGTGGTGGTAGAACTAGATTGTTACTAGAACTACTTTCTCTATAATTTTTAAAATATAGATTATTTCCTAATGCAAAAAAATTCATAGGTTTTATTTTTCTATGGGAAGAAATAGGTTCTATAATATCCTTTAATAACCATCTAGTGGGTATTGACAGATCTCTAAGATTCATTAATCTTGGTTTGATTTATGAATCAAAAGATCTTAGTTCAAATATTTCTATAATATTAGAATCTATTTCTTTAATAAATGTAAAAGCATGATTGGTGAATTCATTTATAGTTATCCAGTTTATAGACAAATCATAAGTCACATTTCTAATTTTTGACTTTTTTGTCATTATTCTTAATCCAAGGCAGTTTTTTATTAATGGGTCATTAATAGAAATAAAATAATTTGATTTTACTTTAAACCAAACAGCGCCTGATACTAGATTTGATTGTATTCCTCCTATTCATGCTTTAATAGGATATTCAAATCTTTTATCTACTAATATTGCTATTATTGGCATATCATTGCCAACTTTGAATAAATTCTTTATAGTTATCATAATTATTCCTAAATGTATATATCTAACTCCAAAATATTTTTGTTTAATTCTCCTAATTTTTTCTTTGGTAAATAAAGGGATATCTACATATCTTTAACTAGAATCAGTAGCTATGGTATTGCCACTAAATTTTTTTGTGTCTTATAGTCCATGGTTTGAATTTTGAAAAGACGGATAGTTTATATATTTCATCTTTCTTTAATAATTATAGTTTTTCTAACAATTCATCTGAGATAGTAACATCTTGTCCTACAACATCACTTAATTTTGTCATTTGTTGTTTTTCAACAGGTATATCTTTAGTTTCAGAATTAATTTGGTTATTAACTTCTGATAGGGTATTATTATCAGGATTACTACTTGTATCAGGCATAAAATATACTCATCATCATTAGATCAGAATCTATTTCGAAAATTAATTCATAAATAATTTCTTATTCAAAAACTTCTTATCCAAAACAAATTTCTAAATCTCTTTCTTCGAAAGTTTTAATAACTTTTTTAGCACTTTTTCCTTTATTAGGACATTGAGGTAACATATGACCTTCTTCATCATAAATGAAACATTTGCATTTAAATTTCTTTTTAAAATTTTTTGTTCTAACAATTTTTTTTCTTTTTGTCAAATTTATGCTTTTTTGGCTTTCATTTGATCAATTTATATCTTCTTTTCTTTTTGTATTTCTTTGAATATGTTTTAGATTGAGATTTACAACCAAAATTTCATTCATTTTCTAATTTTTTTTGCATTGTTTATCGCTTAATTTACTTTTTACTTGCTTAAAAGCCTTTGTTTTAAGGCAATATTCTATGATTTGTTTAGAAGCAAAATAAATTCTATTTTTTATAAAATCTAAATAGTCTTTATTTTCTACTGTAGGGTTGTGAAGTTCTAAATATTTGGGATACTATTGATTACAGAGTTTCTAAATATTTGGGATACTATTGATTGCAGAGTTCATCTTATGACGATGATAATTTATGAAAATATTGTTCTTTCCAAAATTTTGAATGTGATTCATCCAATTTTTAGTATTCATGAATATATTTTTAAAAAAATTCTTCTAAATGTCTTATATCACATAATTTTATTTTAGTCAATATATAATTAGTTTCACTATTTCGATCAATTGGTGCCATTCTACCACAAAATTCATTTTTTAATAGATTTGTAAATTTTTTAACAAATCTGGTGT